CTCGACACCGCACATGACCCTCAATAATAATTATCTCATGCATACTAACATTTCTTCAATACGTATGAACATTCATTAACTCGTCTTGTGAATAAGCATAATATCCTTTTCTAAAAGCACTTTAAAACACTTTTGAATTTACCAATATTATAAACGCGAAAGTTTAGATAAATGTTTGTTGTGTTATAGCCTAAACTGCTGAACGGATTTTGATGAAATTTGACATAGATATAGTCTGAAAGAACGAATAAGCTACTTTTTTTTTTAATTCACGCGGACAAAACCGCGGGAAACAACTAGTATTACATAAAAAATTCTAATCTACGGTAGGCTATCTAATATGCTACTTTTAATTGACTCTTGGAATGATTCTTTTCATTTAGTATTTAATGTCATATGGCATTGATTTTAAAATCTTGTGGTTCAACTCAACCACAAATCCATCACATCGTATTGAAGGTTACCAACACAATACCAACCGATGATGTAATAATACATTGGAAGAATTCAATACTGACTTAATAGACATTTTAGTGAATTTTGTACATCAATTTAAATAAAAAATTACTACTAAAGAGAATAATTTGAGAGTATACGGAATGTTGTTGGCATTTTCTAGAAAAATATTCAACCGAAAACAATTAACCGTTTTGTTTAATTTCATGTTAACATAGGATGTAACAAAAATTAAATGCAGTAAAGAATTTTTGTTATGTTATTTGTTTGCGTTGGAGTTATTGATTTGATTTAGCATAACTTGGCGACGTAACTTTAACTATGCTATCACTAAGTATATGTGTTTGTTCATTTCACCACATCTAGTCACGTGTTGTCATGAATTATGTTAAGTAATCGCTTTGACGCTTACAATCCAATTCCTTTCTATATCCTAGATATATCAACATACTAATGGAATCTATCTATACTAATATAATAAAGCGTAAACACACACTTCTTTGTTGCCTAAGATGTCAGCAGTTACAGCATATTTTTGAATAATTATTATTGTAATGCCCTACACTTACGTCTTTCTTTAAGCTATATATTTTTACGCCATTAAACATAGGGAGTTAATATTTTGGATGTGAAAGTGGGAAAGAGACCATAAGTTGCTGCCAACATCAAGAAAGCAAAATTGCCATAGTAAGGTAATTGGTATTTTGACATCTGCAATTGGTTATTTGACACAAACAATAAAATAATATTTTCATAAGTTTATGCGGATGAAGTCGCAGGGGAACAGCTAGTGTGGTTATAATTGTGTTTACAAGTATAATATAAATAAATCATTTTGAACGGGAATTTTTACATTTTAAAATTACGTCTATGACATTTAGTCTCCAATAAAACACATAAGTACACAAACGTTTAAAAATGTACGAAAATTTTAAAATTGAATTAAAAAATAGGATATCGAACAATGACTACTGGTTTAAAAATAAACCGGTTTATATTAGTGGATGTTAATTTACTAATTACGTTTAAAACAAACAAACAAACGGAATGTTTGCATGATTCACTTCGTTATCGGACTAATGAAGCGATTTGTGAATACATAAATATAAATTGTTACTTCATTCCCATAGCTTGTCTGTGCTTATTTATGGTTTATGGGAATTCATATTTTAAAATTGCTAATCTCTTTAGACACGTAGAACAAATTTTATAAGAACGTCATTTTCATGATTACATTTTTATAGTAATAGATGGCGCTGGGAGTCATATGTCACTTTAACTAGTTTTGTTTGCATAATTAAGTTGTTTGCTTTTAATTAATTTAATCTACATTTAGTGTCACAAATACATCTAAAATATAAGAAGAATTCTACTCAATTAAAACGCAAAAAGTAAATTCTTATTAATGCATTTATAGTATCGAAAACTTTCTTATTTCATAACTAAGATATTTTTTACAACCTTGGTAAGTTTAATTCTATATTATTAATCAATAATATATCCGTCAACTTTAATAAAACCTATATTTACACTTATCTGTAAATTTAAAAACACGAAAACCTACAAGATGTCCCGTAAATCAAATGGTAGCATTAAAAAATCAACTCATTTGTAAATCTTTCTCCGCGATTGCTCAGTAAATCCAGTGTAGTGGCCTTTCTCGTTAATTGAACAAATCATCATCAATTTATTTTAATCACTTCATTCGTAGCCGCTGTCGGGCTATCTTAACAAAATAAACTAGCTCCGTTCACACTGCACGCTCATTAAGCTCTGCTTATCTCAAACAGATACAAATGTTTCCGTTTTAGCGCTTCTGATATCAAACAGTAGCTTGTTTGCGACACAATAAACTGACTTAAAAGTGCGCTAAGTTATAAATATGTAATTTGTAGATTAAAATTAACATACTACGAAATACTATCCGATTGATTTTAGTTAAGTTATAAAAAGTACGCGACGAAATATTTCAAGAATTATTAATTTCGAGGAGTATTTTATTAAAACCCTTATTATTAAAATAATGAACTTATTTTTTCATGCAGATTTAAGACTATTTTTGTAGAATATTCAATTACACGACATTTTATGCTGCGTATAATTTTTAAAGATAGTAAACGGAGAATGCTATCATTCTTGTCTTCTATAAGACAGATTTCAAAATTAATCCAATTAGAATAAAGTTTCGACTTCCGCTACCGCGTAAATTAACAAAATTTAATATCCGGTTAACCTGCTACTGTATAATAAACAAACGAAACATTCCAATATTACAAGTTACATGAAATCCATTTTATTTATATCTGATATAATCGACTACCGGGTTGTGCGCTACGGAATTGACGCTGCAATACCCGCACTATGAACGTTAAAAATCACCAAAAATACAAAACACTTACGTTGATCGAAGAAGCAACGTTCTAGACCATTCATAACGTAATGTACAACTTCATAATGCACCAACACAAATACGTTCACCGTTCACAAACGAAACGCACGTTTCAACACTGAAAACAGAATCACAGCGTTCGTTCCAACTCGGTCACTGCACAACGTCTGGGGCGGATGATCGGGATGAACTGTTACAGGATTGTTAAGACCTTGTTGCCGTTTCGGCGGCCGGCGGGCGACTGAAGTGCGCGCGGCGCTTTGCCCGTTTGTGCCGTGGGGGGAGGCGGGAGAGGGGTTGGGATGCGTGCGTTCGGAATTTACTTCCCACGTGGTCACCACTACCCGTCCTCTTCTTGCGGGACGGGTTAGCTTTTTAAAGCTCGGGCCTTCGATGTCGACGCATCGATATGCCTGGGGCTTTCTGAATCTTGTTTATACTGCAGCTAATAATAACGCAGCGAGTGCGTATTGTCCTCTTATTTTTGCACTTACATTGTAACTTGGCTGCACGATTGTTTGCTCCCTTGTTCCGGTCAAGTGCGTAAACTAACGTTCAGGTTACACCAATGAAAGTTATACGCATTTATTTTCAAAATATCTTCCGCTTCGTGCTGGGTTGATCCGCTGGGTATTGTATAAAACTTTGTTTGTAAAACAGTTCAACCCTAAGCAAGATGAAACATTTGGCGTTTTACTTGAAATTTAAACCGGAGACAGACCTCTTTATTACACGTTGTTTTATAATTGTTTATTGATGCAGTTTAAATGAGCTTTTATAGCTAACTAATATAAACTTACGTAAAATGGTATTAAAGTAAATTTTATTTTAGTTGATGATTTCCACCACTAGGTGGCTCTGCGAGGTCATTTGAAAAAATTGTGGCAAAATAATGAAAAGTCGAATTGATCACAAAGGCCTTTTTGCTGACATTACTCAAGTATTACATTAACTTGGAATTTAAACAAGGATCATAACTTGAGTCATACAGTTAAACAGGAATAGATTAACAAGCGTAGCCGTTGAAAGCTGGACTTTGAATATCATAGAGACAAAAAAAGCTAATGCGTTCCCAAAAAGCTATTTGTGGTGGGCACCGCGTTATCGGCCGTCACTCATCGCGGCGTTTTACCACGCACCGAGACAACCCTGGAGATAGTGGCATTGACTCATTGTACAAAACTTTGTTACATTTTTAATTTTGATTTATGATTTTAAGGGCCTGTCCCACAAAGTTGTAAATTGTCTGATAACAATCCAATGGGTAAAAGATGTGATGGAAATATCGGTTTTTGTTCTGTTATCTGACAGTGACGTCATGTTTAAGCTATCTTAGGCCTGTATCAGTCGGTGATGGGACGGGCCCTTAGTAATTTAAATTGTTGATCAGTTATTGGAAACTAATAGTCGGTTTCCCATCTTATATTTAGCTATTCGTAGAGTAAGTTATAACTAGAGTTTACTAGCTAATGATAAAAATTAATGAAAACTTTATTAATAAACATAAACATGGTTAAAATTCGTTATTAAAGTTGAGTCATTGGGAGTTGTAAAGATTTTATTAATATGTTGTGGTTCTTTGAGAACCTTATCTATAAGTTTACTAATCAATACTAATATTATGAAGCGGAAAGATTTATATTTTTCGATTTCTGTACGTATTGAAATAACTCAATAACTACGGGGTCGATTTCAAAAATGACGCGGGTGAAGTCGCGAGCAACAGCTAGTTTTATAGATAAAGTTACTTTATTGTACAGTAAATATAATAGTAGCGTATAAAATAAACGATATCAAGTTAACACTTAACGAATGTAACACCGCTCCTGTCTTACTTCAGTCTTTAGCGGCGACATCACAAAGATAAAACGACACACCTACATAACAGTAACCCGAGTGATTATTAAGTCAACCGTAAGCCAGCGTTACAACTAACAACGGCAAATCACAAAAACACACACAAAACCCGTCTTACAAATGTTTGCTGAGACACGCGCCGACGTCGCCCGCCTCGGCAACGCTTTCATTCAACCCCTTAATCACTCCACGAGAATGTGTCCCCGCTGTTTATTTATTAGATTATATAACGTTGTAATGTGCTTAACACTTTACAGAGGAATCTCTAATGGCTCCACCAGCGGACCGTGCGAGTAGTTTTAATTGAGAGTCAACTGATGGAGGGTTAAACGGGAACAGCTACGTTTATTACAAAAACATGCCGACCTAAGATGCTGTCTGTACAGTCGCCGACGTACGCGCTGCTCTAGTTACAGAGAAATTGTCTTGCAAATTACAACTAACATTAACTTCACTCGATTGTAATATTGATGTTTTGATCAATTAAAAACAAGTTTAGACACCAATTAAAGTATCCTTGCATTTTATGCGTAGATATAAAACGACAGTCGTTGTTTAAAACACCGACAATGTAGGTGACTGTACATACCACCGGTGGCTTTTATTCACCTAATGTAATTAGGACTTGGTGTACGCTCGTTGTTCAGCAGCAGAATTGGTGATTCCCACACTTTATACTGAACACTTCGCTGCAATGGCCTTTTAGCTTTTATTTTACTGTCAGAGATATAACGCGATTTAACAAGACCGCTCTTTAATATTGTAGTGTAGCATTTTAGTGTTGTGTTACAACTAAATAAAAATAAAAGAATATTTGTTTGAAAGTTAGTTAATAATTTGCCTTTTAATATATCAGAAAATATCATTTTCAATTCTTACAATATTGGGTTCAAAGATTACAATTTCAGGATCATATATTTTAGTAATTAGTCGTTAAAAGTACAAAAAAAAAAATTATATCATGTGATGGTCTGGACGAGAGCATAACTATGACACTTGTAAATGGGTCGGCGACAGCTGTGATACCATCATTGTCACGATAATATTGTCCAACATCTGGCTTGTAAACTATTTTAAGTAAATTGTTATGCCACCAATGGATAACAGGACATTTCTTCTTACAATAACAATTATCACTACTTTAATAATGATGGATGTTTTAACGCCGTTTATTTATATCCTATTTTATTAGTGTCTCTAATAATAAAAAAACAAAACCTTATGTCTATAAAGTTTCTAATAACATAAAATAAAAGGACGAAAAATGTAGAATCCAAATTGTTAAATATCTGGTAAAAATCCAACGTGTAAAATATGTGATGGAAATATCAGATTTTGTTCCCTTATCTGACAGTGACGTCATTTTAAAGTTATCTGAGCCTCTATCAGCCAGAGGTGGGACAGGCCCTTAGAATATAAATTACGAAACTTCTCAATAATCGTAACTAATATACCAGCTAAATCATTTCTTCGATAAAATTGCAATTGATTACATTTTCAACGCTATTTAAATGCACACTTTACGTTCAATATCTAAAGTGCTAAATATTCAGCTATTAGCTGTTATGCACTAAATTATGCGTCGACAAATAAAACGACTCGGATAAGTCGCGAGTTAGCGTTAACACCCACTAAGTGCTATACAAGACTTATGTTACAATTTAATCTATCAACACATTATTTACGCTAAAATTTTATAGTCTCAATATTTATTTAAAAAGTGGGAATAAGACAGTATTATAAGAAACCAGTATTAGTGTTACTTAGAATCAAATATGTTTAGAGTAGCTAGAGAACTTTGAACTTTCCGATTTACGCTCCATTCAAGACATCTAAAACTAACTCTTTTTATAATTGTGTTATTATTTATAGATGTTATTTAAATTGTTTATCTTAAGCGTTTAAATTTAGATCGACATGTGGCAATATGCTTGATACAATACAAGTTGAAGACTACGTCACAGATGATAAAATGGCGTCGCACATTGCATAGATATTTATCACAATTTGTAGCTTAATCTGGCGTAACGCGAACGATATATCACAAAGGCCTGTGAACAAATGCTATCACGTTGTAACCACATCAAATATGGACTATTTATAAACCTTATTCAAATGAAATAAGATTGATTTTCGAACGATAAGATTATAATGCATAACTGTAAAAGAAATTTGACCCTCATTACGCGATTTTATTGTTACTGGATAAGAGCTACTTTGGTACGGCATGGATTAAACTCAAAGAGTTTATATTTCAATATTAATGATCAAACATTTACGTGCAAAAAAATACGACATTTAACATCGCTTTAAAGTATTTTAACTGCATACTTTTTAGGAAATTCTGACTTTGGTTTCTGATACCTTCAACACTTGAAGCACTAGTCGACGCTGGTAAACCCTCACCTTTCAATTACATGTTTATCCTTGCAAAGAATAGTTTAATGAACTAAAAATTATAATGATGTGATACACGTGTAAAGACACTAGAGTGAATACAATTATGCCTATCTATTTGCCGCGATAAAGTACGGTAGCGTTTTGTAATATCAAGTCTATATGAAGCTATGTAATTGAGTCTTGTCACAGATATAAGAAATGTTTGACGTAGAAATTCCATTATGAGTTATCAATATATCTCCCATGTTGATATTTATTAAACAAACTCATCTGAAATGTTATTGGCTGTAGTTTGATCTCGGATTCTTATCTAGGCTTTTAAAAGCTTATAGTATTGACCACTTATTTCTTAAGCTGAGATAAAAATCCTTTCATCTGTACTATGTAGTTTTACAGAACGAATTATTAAGTAGTTTTTAAGATAATGTACAGTCCTGGAAATCCACGGTGTGCCAAGAACACTCACTGCCTTATTCCTTGCAATGAGACAAACTCCAATTACATAGCAGTTAGTTGAGCAAACGACGGGATTCTTTTTTTATAGACAAAATTTAAAATCGCCTTCAATGCATAAAAAATGTTCAAATGACTGTAGTTTTGAAGGTGGAACATCAACAAATTCCCTGATTGTACATTTCAAAGGTTAGATTAGGGTCTTTTAAATGTTTTGGTGGCGAAATAGCAAATAATATTTTAAATTCAAGAAAGTATGAAACATGCACACGCCATACTTATGTGACCATTCTAGTACTATGAAAGGTGTGTTAACTATGATTTATGTCTGGACGCCGTAACACATAATTAGGGTTGCCACCAAGATGCATACTAAGATGGTTGCGGCTGCATGCTAAGCATGCGTAGCTGAGCCTATTCCCCGGACGGAGTACCGCTTAGCGCTGCTAACCCCACACATTAGCGCAATAAACTTGACAATAACTCAATTCCGAGCAATGAAGGGCGATTCCCCAGCGGCCGGCAGTCAGGGCTGACAATCGCTCCCGAAGCTAAAGTAATTAGGGCGATCGATAGGGTCTGCAGAT